AAGCCAGGAGCCAGGAGCTTCTTCCAGGTCTCCCATGTAGGTGCAGGGGCCCAAGGACTTGGGCCATCTTCTACTGATTTCCCAGGCCATAGCAGTGAGCTGGATCAGAAGTGGAGTAGCTGGGTCTAAAACCTGCACCCATATGAGAATATGAGATGTTGGCACTTCAGGCCAGGGTGTTAACCCACTGCACCACACCACCGGCCCCTGAATTTTTTTTAAAGGTAGAGTTGCAGAGAGAGAGAGGGCACTTCCATCTGCTGGTTCACTCCCCAAATGGCCACAATAGCCAGGGCTGGGCTGGGCCAAAGCCTGAAGCCAGGAGCTTCATCCAGGTCTCCCACGTGGTGCAGGAGTCCAAGCACTTGAGCCATCCTCCACTGCTTCCCCAGGTACATTAGCAGGGAGTGGAGCATCCAGGACTGAAGCTGGTGCCCATATGGGATGCTGTGGTTGCAGGCAGCAGCTCAATCCTTCATGCCACAACACTGGCTCCATATTTATTGATTTTTTAATTTCTGTTGTGATATTTTTATTTCCAGGTGCTTTCTTATTCATTGTCTGAGTGTGTGTTCTGTTCCCGTTCTTGCAAGAAGCCATGGTTCCTTTTGTTTTTGCAGAGGAGGCTTCCTCCCTCCCTCCTTTCCTTCTTCTTCCCTCCCTTCTTCCTTTTCTTTCCTTCTATCATTCTCTTATTTTTAGACTTCTTTCATTCTCAGCCTTTTGTCTATTATCCCCCAAGTTCCTCTTTGCATTTTTGCCTTGTGACTTTGTTTTTCATGTGGGAGATTCTCCTCAAAATAAGTGATCTTTGGCTGTTTGTTTTTAAGAATGAGGCACTTGAAAGTGACTTATAATCGTGTTTAATAAAGGGGGGTTTCTCTGTACATCTGTAGGTCTTTTCTCTGTCTTCCACATGCCCTAGGAGAGATCCTCTACATTCTATTTTAGGGGACAAGAGCAGAGTAAGTTTGGTTGCAGTGTTGTTGGAGCTGAGCTGGGCAAGACAGCTGTGAAGCTGAACAGGTGGAATGGGCACTGGGATGCGGGGCTTTGGCTCCTTGTTCAGTGTATTTGATGACTTCCACTTACTCCTTCCTAAAGGTAGTCCTGCCTTCCTCAATTTCAAAGTCTCTCTGCCTGAGTTTCCTCTGAGAGTCAGCTCCCAGTCTTCTGGCTGGGGTTGGGGAGCAGGGGATTGGCACATGATTGGATTTGGGGAGGAAGTCTGTCAGGCTGTGTCCATCTTGTCCCTCAGGTCTTCTTGCTGCCCTTGGTGGTGCCTGGTGACTCCTGAGGACCCTAGTGCTCTCCTTTCCTACAAGTTTCTAGGGTTCTGTTATTGATATCTGTTTGCTTCTTGTTGGCTTCTTCCTCTGTAGCTGTTAGTTTTCATCATTTTTATTTTATTTACTTTTGGCTTCTTCCTTTGGTTTCCTAAGTCAGCTGCCTTTTATCTGTTAAGCTTTCCATCTGTCAATTTTATTGGCATTATCTGTCCATCATCATCTCCCCTTCTGGATTCTTTATCCTTGACAGGCTGTAGATTTTTCTTATTTTTGCAATCCTATTAATACGGTTTGGGGAGGGAGCAGAGACCAATGGCTGGCCTCTGGAACACTTTTTGTTTATTTATGTTTGTGTGCCTACTGGATACAATGACTCATACCAGTTGCAGGTATGGGGGTAGTTTCAGAAAAGTGAAAACTAAAATACAGACGATATATGATTCATACCTAAAAGTTAACTTTATTTTTTTGTTGATTTTGAGTTAGACATTCATCATACGTATGTTTATATGTTTAAATTTAGTTTTAAATATGGATGTTTCTTTGGATATGATAACTGAACCTGAGGGTGAGTGTTAGATGCTTTTTATTCATATCCTGGTTTTCACTTGATTAGCAGTTAGGTAAATAAGCATTTATTCATTGACTCATATTAAACAATATTTAGTCCCCCAATCTATAAAACATGGTGCCAGTATATTGAGATATCTGTTAGTAGAAGCACTGACCCTGTTGATTATTCTTAGGAAATCCCTCATCTCTCTCACTCTCTCTATCTTTTTAAAATTTATTTATTTATTTGAAAAAGCAGAGTTACAGAGAGGAGGGAGATCATACATCTGATGATTTACTCCCCAAGTGGCCACAACAACCAGGGCTGAACCAGGCTGAAGCCAGGAGCCAGGAGCTTCTTCCAGGCCTCCCACATGGGTGGCAGGGTCCCGAGTCCCAGGGCCATCGTCCACTGCTTTCCCAGATGCATTAGAAAGTAGCTGGATTGGAAGTGGAGCAGCTGGGACTGGAACCAGCTCCCATGTGGGATGCAGACACTGCAGAAGGTAGCTTTACTCCCTGCACCACACGCTGGGTCCCCCTCTTCTCTTCTTTGCAGGATACTACAGTCCCCTGGCTTTTTTTACTTTTCTTCCTGGTCTCCTTGATGAGCTTTTCTTTCCCTAAAACTTAAATTCTTGCCAGTTTTTTAGGCTCTAAGTTTGTCTTCTTTGCCAGCCCCCTTACCAATGTGATAAAGAGTCCCTTCTTAGAGCAGTGAGTAAACATCACCACACCACCCTTTATTCCAGGAGATTGTAATTGAATATTTACTTGCTGGTTCTTCCCCCACACCAGAGCGGACTGCAACCTAGCTCCTGACTGATAAATTGATCATGTTTTTACTGTGCACACTAAACACGTGAAATTCTGACCTAGTAGTTTAGAGGAATGATACTAATTGTGATTGTTAATTTTACGGCTCAACTCAACTGGGCCAAGGATGCCCAGAAATTTGATTAACACAATTGTCTGTGAGATTGTCTGTGAGAGTGCTTCTGGGTGAGATCAGCATTTAAATCAATAGACTCACAAAAGCAGATGGGCAGATGGCCCTTCCTACACGGCGAGCCTGAATAGAACCAAACGGATGAGCCTCCTACAAGTAAGAGTGAATTCTCCTGTCTTATTGCCTTTGAGCCAGAACTTGGATTACCCTCTGCCTTTGAACTCCATCTGAAATACTGACTTTTCCCAAGTCTTGAGCCTGTTAGCCTTAGAACACCACCTGCCCCGTCGGCTCTCCTGACTCAACACTTCAGACTCCCCAGTGACTGAGTCTGCAGTTCACCTTCTTCATGATTTCATGAGTGAATTCCTTATAATAAATCTCTCTCCACATGTGAGGAAGGTCTTGAGAAAGTTCATAGTAATGCATATGATGAAAAATGATACTTGGATTCCAAAGTGTTCTTTGCATCAAAATACACTTTTCATGTCATTTTCTATTAACATTTCTGAGGTACCCTTGTGTAAATCCACATACATACATATATATACACAACTATGTATGTACAAGTATGTATGGGTGTATATAAGTACAGTTAGCGCTCTGGGTTTAAGTTCCAAATGCTCAGATTCAACCAACCTTAGGTTAAAAATATGTTTGGGAAAAAAAAGTATCTGCTAAACATGTACAGACTTTTTCCTTGTCATCATTCCCTAAACAATACATTATAACAACTGTTTATGTAGCACTTACATTATATTAGTTGTTATAATTAATCTGGAGATGATTTAAACTATACAGAACATGTGAGTAGCTTATATGCAAATACTACATTTTCTATGAGAGACTTGAGCATCCAAGGATTTTGGTACCCATAGGGGTTTCTGGAACCAATCTGCCACAGACACTGAGGTATGATACACACACACACACACACACTCTCTCTCTCTCTCTCTCTCTTTCTCTTCAGATGTTTTTATGTATTTTATGTTTTGCCTTTCTGGAGAATCCCAATAAACAAAGCTTGTGTCACAAGCTCCAGGGAAATAATTGATGCCGATGGTGAATTTTTACTTATTCTACTTATAATTTAGTGTTTTATTAAAGTGGTACTATCTAACCTGTTTATCTCTGCTGTTTCCTTTTTTTAACCTGAATGCCAGAATCTTCTAAAATGCCCTAAAGCTAAGCAAGCTATGAGGAGCAATGGCCTCAGTGGTTTTTTTTTTAAGATTTATTTATTTATTTGAAAGGCAGAGTTACACACAGAGAGAAGCAGAGGCAGAGAGACAGAGACAGAGACAGAGTCTTTCATCCACTGGTTCACTCCCCAATTGGCCATAATGGCTGGAGCTGCACTGATCCAAAGCCAGGAGCCAGGAACTTCTTCCTGGTTTCCTATGCAGGTACAGGGGCCCAAGGACTTAGGCCATCTTCTACTGCTTTCCCAGGCCATAGCAGAGAGCTGGATCAGAAGTGGAGCAGCTGGGACTCAAACTGGTGCCCATATGGGATGCCAGCACTGCAGGCAGTGGCTTTACCCACTATGCCACAGTGCCGGCCCTGGCCTCGGTGTTTTAATTTGATCACACAATCAAAACCAAATAATATTTAGTATCAATGCATAGGGGTGTTTTTTAGAAAGCCTTACTTTATCCACACCTTCATGTGTACACACAAAATCATCATAAAACAAAGTCACTTTCATTTATTCTCCAAGTCATCATATGGACTTCAGAAAAGTTGCTACTCTGTCCAGGTGATCATTTTATATTAAATGATACCTAGTGTAAGGGTTAGCCAAATAATGAGGTGGTTGACTAGTTTTTAAAATGAGCATAGTTTAATGCCTTAGCTTTTATTAATTGTGTGGGCCCCTAAAAAAAAACAGAGCAATTGAAAATTTAATTACATCAGTGTTTTTCTTCAAAGAACTGAAGCTTATTAAACTTTAAATATTAAAAGCATTTAAGCATCTATTGAAATACCTATAGCTATAAACAATGTGCAGGTCTAAATACTAATTAAACAAACTCTAAATCACCATAAAGCGAAGCTGAATTTTAAGTAACTATTATGTTTTAATGCTCAGCTCTTACACAAGGAAGATTAACCATTTCACTACTGACCACTGCTGCAGCCTTATGCCTCTCTTTTAAAAAGCTGTGACTGTTTGTTGAACCACATTCTTCCCCAACCTGGAAGAATGAAGACAGGGAAGAGAGAGAGATTGATTAGTAAACTGGAACACTATGCTAATGCCACATTGGTACTCATAGAGACCCCTCCTCATACTGCTCCACTCCCCATCCTTACTCAGCCATTCTATTCCCCACCTCCCACGCCTCAATCCATGCCAGTAACTGGGATTTATTACAATATCCTTACTGCATTTCTTTTCTAAAAAATAAATTTTGTTAGTTCTTCATTTAAATAGCAAAATTGTATATCTTATCACCCTGATACATTTGTAACCATCCTTTTTCAGGGTGGTTTAGGTTTGAACTGGTGCATATTTGGAATGCCAGAAAATAAGGTAGCAGCTTTACACAAGGTACCAAAGGCTGGCCCCAGATGCAGTCTCTTACTTGAAAATTTCAGTGGATAAATATAAAAAGTGCATAAGTCATTGCATATGATGACATGAATGAATAGAAGAAATCCCCCAGACACTATCTAGCTTGAAATACAAAGAAAAGACTGCCAACTCCCCTAAGAGTTTGAGGTGATGGGAACCCACCCTGAAACTGAACAACCCAGGCCCCCATGGAATGACACCCTTAGATAGAAGCCAAGGAATTGGGGCCTCTGTGGAAAGGCATGTGTGCCATCCCCAGGATCAGCACCTGAGGCCAGAAGTCAGCCCCATGCCATGTGTCCTCTGCCCCGACCTATCGTGGGAGACAGTAGGCCACGGATGCATTCTTGAGGGAAGGGATGGCCCTTCTCTTCTCTCTGATAACCCAAACGTTACACAGCACCTTTTCCAGAAAACAGTCTAATCCAGGTCTTGTCAAGCTTGGCATCTGATGAGAAAGTGCTAAGAAACAGGAGCAGGTGACCAACCACTCTGGGACAGCAGAAATCCATCATTCCAGAAATGACCAAGAAGATGAGATTAGGAGACAAGACCTTGAAAAGAGGTAAGCCTAAACATGCTTCAGGAGTTCCAGGAGAACAGATGCACAAAGAGAAGAGAAACAGAAGGGGTCATCATAAGATAGAACCAGAAAAATGGAACTTGGACTGTAGAGAGATACAGTATACTTTTTCTTTTCTTCCTGCCTTCGTGCCTTCTGCCTTCCTCCTCCCTACCTCCTCCTTTCCTCCTCCCTTTCTTCATTCTTTTCTTTCTCTCTCTTCCTTCCTTCCTTCCTTCCTTCCTTCCTTCCTTCCGTCCTTCCTTCCTTCCTTTTTTCAGATTGTTACTTATTTGTCTGGAAGTCCGAGTTGAGGTAGGCGGAGACCCAGCAGTCTTCCTTCTGCTCGGTCACTCCCCCGTTGGCTGCAGTGGCTAGCACTGGAGCAGGCTGAAGCCTGGAGCTGGGCACTTCCTCCAGATGTGCCATGTGGCTGCAGGGACCCAAACACTTGGGCCATCCTCTGCAGCTTTTTCCAGGTCATTAGCAGGGATCCACATTGAAAGTGGAGCAGCCAGGACTCGAAAGAGCAGCATTGTTTCCAAGAAGGAGAAGGACAAATCTACTCTCAGGAGAAATCACACACACACAGACAGTGAGACACACAGAAACACACACAGAGAAACACACACAGAGGTCCAGGTTGAGTGCTTTATGTCTTTATTAGTCCATGAATACACAATCCAGGAATACACATTCACTCCAACCATTTCATACTGTACAAAGGAACCAGTTACTAACTCGAGGACAGTTGATCCTAATCACCTCGTGGAATCTAAGGCATGCCACCCTGTGAATCCGAGTGTCCCCCAGGCAGGATCCCAGGAGAGGCTTTGAACTGGCAGGATTCAGAGCCCACCCACCGTTCCCCCAGAGCGACTGACTGACTGACGGTGGTTTCTCTTTGGAGTTCTCTGGCCCCACGCACACTGCCTTGACTTCCCCCACTCGCCGCCCCTCTGTGTCCGCGGCGAGTCCTGGGTTCACCTGCGGGAGAGTGTCTTCTTGTAGTCTCGCATTGCTTTAGCCATGAGAGGGGCAATTTTCTTGGGCGCCTGCTTTCTGGTGCTGCCCCCAGGCGCCCAGGTAGCAAGTCTTGTGCTTGGGCCCAGCTGGGCTGGCCTGTCCGCTGGAGGGGGAGAGAGGCTGCTGTCGCTGTGCTGGGTGCTGCGGGGAGCCCGGTCGCTTCCTGCGGGGCCCGGGGCACGCGGGGCACTCGCTCCTCCTGTTGGCAGCGCGTCCTGCCTCCCGGGATCATCCCCAGCAGGCCCGGGCATCCCGTGGAAACGGATCATCTTGGTCTGCCTGCCTTTGGGCTTGCTGGCGTGTGTAGCTCGGATGACGGCCGTGAGCTCTTGCAGGTGCCGCTCTCGGGCGCTCTGAAGGCGCAGGTACATCTGCCGCCACGACTCCTGCTCTGCCGGTTTCTCACCCTTAAAGTCTCGGTGACAGTGCCTTTTCCATAAGGGATCTGTTTCTTCAGGGAGTTCGGGGTTGTCTCTCTCTGCACGCTGTAGCTCTTCAGGCATGTGCTGCTCCAACAGAGGTCCCAGGTGGCTGTGAGGGACTCCTCTCCCAGCAGAGGGGGACGCGATGGGTTCCAGTTCCGGGATGCGCATTTGGCTCTCCGTCATCCCTCGGGTTGAGTGCCTGGCACCGGCATAGACTTGCGTCTTCGGATGGACTCTGCGACCCGCACATCCAGCGTCTTCCTCCTGCTGGGCTGCAGAGGGCGCTTTTCTCCTGGGTGGGCAGAAAGCCATCCGGTGAGAGGGACCGTCCCTGGCCTGGGTGCTGGGCGCGGCGGCAGGGGCCGAGTCTTCCAGCTTGGCCGCATGGGCCCCAGCCGGCTGCAGCTTCCCTTGCTGGCTGTGGGTCACCTCGGGGCCTTTCTGAACCCAGTCCACTCCTGGACCGTGGCTTGTGGGCTCTGCTGGCTGAGGTCCTTTCCCTCGGAGGGGCGGCGGCCCAAGGTCTCCCCGCCTTTCTCTTTTTCTTCTCCAGCTGGTCGTAGGTCAGGTACGCTTCAAAGGACACACTGGGCTGGTGCGGTAGCTCCTCCCCGCCGCCGCTGGGTTGCTCCTCAGCCTGCGGGAGGAGGCCTCCTGACGCGCTCGCCAAAGTAGGAGCTGCCAGTTGGCCGTGTGCGGCCTCGACGTGGGTGGAGATGTCTTGCAGCCCGGGCCGCGGGTCTTCTGGCCCGGTTCCGAGCTGGAAGCTCTGGGGGTGTTGCCGGGTCTTTTCTGCCCGGCTTGCCCGCGAGTCTTTGCGCTTGGCCTTGCCGGGCTCATCTGCAGCCAGCTGCGGGAGGGACCAAAGTTGAGTGCGGGGGCGCCCTGAGGCCTGCTCCGCCGGGACCCCCGAGGCTGGGGGGTTCCCCTTGGCTCCGCCTCTGGAGTTTTCCTCCCGGGACACGCCCCTGGATGAGAGCTGGCTGAGGGAGGCGGGGGGCGCCTCCCCTGCCTTGGCCCTCAGCGGGCCGTTCTCCCTGGGGGTCGACTTGAGGGTCTGGCCTTGGCTCAGCGCCGCTTTGCCCTGGGCTTCTTCCCGGTGTTCTTCCGGCAGGGGGCCGGCGCCGTGGTGCTGGGCCCTCGCGGGCCTCTCTGCAAGCTGGCGGAGGCCCGCGGCAGGTGCAGGGTCCTCCTCCTGCCAAGTGGAGGCGTTCGCCGACTCCTGGGACTCCTGGGACTCCTGGGCTGGGCGGGCAGAGCGCGGCAAGGCTGGGCGCGGGCGCGAAGGAGACTCGAGTGTCCGCGGCTGGAGCTCGGAGAACCTCCTGGGCCTTTTGTGTCCGTGGGCAGGCTTGGCGGGCTGGCTGCCGACGGCCGCCCCGGATTCTGGTGTGCCTCTGTCTGCTTGCTCCTCGTCGTCGTCGTCGTTGTCGTCGTCGTCGTCAAGAGCAGCCCACGGCCGCTTTCGCGAGTGGCTGGGTGGCGAGCCTTGCTGGGCCCGCCCAGGGCTTGGCTGCACGCGAGTCAGCTTCTTCCACCGGGCCGCCAGGTCCCTGGCCACGCTGCCCACGATCTCGTGTCTTCGCAAGCCCTTCACGGTCTTCCGCACGCGGGTCTGTGCCAGAAGGTCGGCGGTCATGGGCAGGGCCGAGAGTCTTCTCAGATACTTGCGGAGTTTCCGGGGCTTGGTGCTGGCGGCCAGGCGTGCGTGCAGCCGCCTGACCTCTTGCAGCGGCCATTCTGCCTCCATGGCTGTGGGGACTGGCTCGGGGCAGCGGCTGGCTGGATGCGGGGCGCCGGGGTCTTGCTGAGCGCCGCTGGGCTGGCCTGCTCCTGGGCCCTCGGGTGGCAGGGCCGCGGGTGCAGGTGGTGTGCTGTGCCTGGCGGCTCAAGCGCTCTGGCTGCAGACCCTGACCCTGAATAGCCTTAGGCTCCACCCCCTGCCGGCGCCAGTGGGTCACGCCCTGATTGACGCCGCGGGCAAGCATCTGTCCCTGCACTGCCCCGCCCACTGCCCGAGGCCCTCACCGCTCCTGATTGATTGATCGACTGGTTTCGCAGTCCGGACCACTGTTAAGGCCGAGCCTGCCCAGGGTCCTGCTCCACCAGTTCTGTGATGCCCCCTTGGAGATGGGCAACGGGGACTCTAGGTGGTCGGGGAAACGCGCGCCAAGTCCCCTCCCCTCCGAGTGAGAGGCTCAGTGACAGGAACCCGCCCCGAAACTCAGCAGCCCAGGCCCCCATGGAGTCGCACCCTTGGATAGAAGCCAAGGAATTGGGGCCTCTGTGGAGGGGTGTGTGTGCCGTGCACCGGATCAGCGCCTGAGGGCAGAAGTCGGCCCCGTGGCCGGGCGTCCGGGTGTCCGCCACCCCGCCCCATCGTGGGAGACAGCGGGCCACGGATCCATTCTTCTTGAGGAATGGGATGGCCCTTCTCTTCTCTCAGATGACCTGAACGTTAGCCCTAAAGCCTGAGCCAGACCCCATCATTCTCCCGCTCCTGTTTGAAAGGGGGTTTAGCCCTCTGCTTTCAACTAGGAGGATGCCATGGGCACCATATCGGCTCCTCTAGCACCCCTCAATGTGGAGTTATTTTGCAACTGGTTCATAGTGTTAAGCATGAGCTTTGGTAACACAGAGATTACAATTCCTTATGCTTTTTCAGTGTTTTAATAACAGGTCCTGTAAGTGTGTTGTGTTTATTGGGCTGTACAGGCTGCTCTGAAATTCGAAATATATCTAGCTAATTCTATTTCTTATTTAAAACAAACGCCCCTTTGCATCTAGTACTTGTTTTATGTTCCTGAGCATGGTTGACACATTTTGACCCCTTTTTTATATGATAAATATTCTTCCTGGATATGTAGTTATTGTTTTTGATAGTTCTAGTGTTTTTTCAGGTTGTGCAGCATTTGAAATTGAAGAATTTCGTGGTAGAATCCATAGAGAATCAGCTAACAAACAAAATAACAAATTAAAAAATTAGAACCTATGGGTATACATGTATATTTTCAAGGTTTTAACTGAATATTAGATGCAGGGACTGCAAAATAGAACTATAATAAAAACTTTTGAAAGAAGAGATGTGTCCTTTTTAACTGTTTGTTTTTGAGTTGGAAAGCTTAATGCAAAATTCAGATCTTATTACAGAAATTGAAATGAGTGCATGCAAATTAATCTCCATTGCACCCGTAAAAAGGAAATTAAAAGCACTAATGTTGCATGTGGTGTATATAAAGTGACATTTCCTAAGCATCTTCTGGGCCTAAAACTGGGAATGATATTCAATGCTTCCTTTTCCTCAGGCTATAGTATCATAGGATTCAATTTTGAATCTGATAATGCAGGCATTCTTGTGACACAATAGCCCACCAAGGAAATGAAGGAAGAAGAAAACAGCCCGACTATTGAAACAGGCAAATGAGACCCCTCAGTTAGATGTTCACTTGTGAGCCTCCTTTCTTTGGTAGACAGAAATTAATTGAGCATCTAATTGTGTCCATTATAGGGGCATGGCATTTCTTCCAGTTGAAAATGACCATTTGTGCGTGGCTCATTCGTAGTTTTTCAAGTCAGAAGATCATCTTCAATGCTAATTTGAATGACATGGGTAGAAAGATGTTGTATATCTGGCAAACTTCACTCCTTTAATTAACAAGTTTTTAAGACCACATTCTGTGTTTCAGATATCCGAAGCCCATCTCACATATTTTACACTTATGTGTTTGAGTAGTGGCTCTTTATCTCTATCTCTTCTCTACACTCACTAAATTCTACATTTCCACCAAACTTGTCTCAAAGTAAAAGGGACACTATTGTTCCAAGGCCTGATGACCCCAAGTGCCAGCAGCCTCACGACTGGTGTGGTAGAAAACCAGTTTTGAAGTGGTCTGATCACCAAACAGAATTCTAACAGACTGAACCATCCTTTAATCTCATCTGGCATAGAGATCAGTACTCTTTGGCAAACTTTGTGATTCTACTCATGAAGACCACGGACAGACTTGATTGGAGTGGGAACAGCTATCCTTCTCCAGGAATGTTATCAAAACTCTGCACAAGCCTCTTTGTTAGGCTGCTTATATTTTTGAAGAATATGGTCAACATTGCTCGAATTTATTTAGCATCCGGAGGTCCATCCACCCCCCGCACTGGAGTTTCCCTTTCCTACCCATCCTGATCACTTGTGCTCACTGGGTTAATGATTCATTATTTAAACAACTACAAGGATTCTAAAAAGAATTTGCAGGGTTGATGTTGTGGCTCCTGGGTTAAACTATTGCATGCGATGCCCCATCCCATATGGGAGCATCTGTTTTGTCCCAGCTCTTCTGCTTCCAATCTAGCTGTCTGTTAATGTGCCTTGGAAAGCAGTCAAACATGGCCCATGTACCTTGCCCCTGCCATCCACATTGAAGACCTAGCTGTAACTCCTTTGAATTTTGCTATGGTTTGGATACAGGTTTGGGTTTCCTATAAAGGTGGTTGTGTTAAATCATTTATCTCCAAAGTCTTAAAGGAATGGATTAAGTGTCGTAATCTATTCCAATTAAGGGTGGGGTGGTTGAGAATGGATTAAGTTGGTAGGGTGGGGCTTCTATGATGAATCCCATGATGGTTTTGTAAGGAGAAGACCATAGACATAGAGGATAAATATTTGCTCTTGTTCTCACTCTTGCTGTTTCTGTCTTCCATTGCTTTGACCCATGTGATTACGAGACAATGCAATTAGATCCTCTAACTATGGAGGGATATGGAAATCATTAGAAATGGGGCAAGTCAGTGTCAAGTGTAGTCTCTTTTAAAATGTATATAGTTTCTAAAACTCTTAAGGTGCATTTCAACCCTTGTTTTTTTTAAAGAGCTTTCATGCATGTGGGCTGGGTTAGGTTTATTTTCTGCAGTTTTGTGACTATTCAGCAATTAACATGCAGAATCTCCTATGAGATACACTACTCTTGGTGCAGCAGGATGGTTAATTTATGGAAGGAAATCTAGCTGATAATTGCTTCCAAATGGTCACTAATAGAGTGAGATATTAGACCTGAGGAATTTTGAGAGATATCATTTGTTACTATGTCAGGTCAGCTAATGAAGATTGGCAGTAACCACACTAATAATGTTTTTGGCTAATATGGCACTCAGCTTTTGGCAAATTAAAATAGTGGCTTCTCTCTGATCTGGAGTGGATGTGGAAGAGTGGGAATGGAAAATGAAGAGAGGGAGTTGTTGAAGGAGAGGAGCTCTTGAAGAGTTGACCCAGGAGCCAGGGTTCTGTCCCCAGATATTTGCAGGCTTTAAAACATCCCTTAGCTATTCGGATCCTGAGGGTCCTGAGACCCAGGCTCTCCAGGTAGCTTCTTGACGTCTAAAATTCTGAACCTAAACACCAAGCAAGAGCTTCAAAATTTGTATATTTATTGTATTTATTTTATTTTTATTTAAAAAACTATTTATTTGAAAGACAGAATAATGGAGAGGGAGAGGGAGGGAGGGATAGAGGGTGAGTGAGGGGGAGAGGAGAGATACTGAGACCTTCCATCTGCTGGTTCACTCCCCAAATGACCCCAAAGGCCAGGGCAAGGTCAGTCTGAAGACAGGAGACTGGAACTTCATGAAGATTTTCAGCATGGGTGGAAGGGGCCCAAGCACTTGGGTCATCCTCCACTGCATTCCCAGAAGCATTAGTAGAGAGCTGGATTGAAGGTGGAGTAACCAGGATTCAAACTGGGCTCACATATGGGATACCGCTGTTGCAGCTGGTAGCCTAACCTGCTATGCCAGCCTAGAATTCATATGTTTAGAAACATGGCCCATGGCTGTTTAATATTTATATTTCGCAAATTTGGTTTGGATTGAATTCTATGATGAGTGTCATCTTGGCTATGAGAAAGATAGTAACTTTGGGACTACCTAAATTCCATGAAGTGCTTTCCCTCCTAATATACTAGATGGCACTGTAAGTGAGGCAAATCAAATTAAAAATTTAAAAAAGGAGGGAAAGACTACTAGTCAGTGCTAGTTTTGGCAAATTAGAAAATATTCCATTGTTATCAAGAGTTGTTTTGTCAATATCTTCAGAATGATGAGTGAAAATGGCCAGTGATGAATATCTTAATATCAGTTTGGATATTTGCTTTCAAACTTTGTTTTACAGTGGCCAGCTATAAACTTAAAGAAGGATTTGGTACACAAACAGCCACCCATGGCACATTCATACACACACACACGTAAATGCAACAAAAGTTTCCTGAAGCAATATAGAATCTTCCTCCCTGTTATGCATTCTGTGTGATAATTGCAGTTCACCAAACTATGCTGCTTGTAACCAATTAACTGGATTTCAAGACCCGTAGTTTGAAAAATAAAATAAAATTAAAAACTGGGGCCAGCATTGTGGCGTAGCGGGTAAAGCTGCCTTCCCAGGATGCTGGCATCCCATATGAGTGCTGGTTCAAGTCCTGGCTGCTCCTCCTCCAGTCCAGCTTCTTAATGGTCTGGAAAAAACAGTTAAAGTTGATGCAGATGTTCAGGTCCCTGGGCTTCTGCCACCCATGTGGAAGACCTGGATGAAGCTCCTGGCTCCTGGCATTGGCCTGGCCCAGCCCTGGCTAAAGCAGACATCTTGGAAGTGAACCAACAAATGAAAGATCTCTCTCTCTCTCTCTCTCTCTCTCTCCTTCTGCCTTCCTCCCTCTCTGTAACTCTGAATTTCAAACAAATGAATAAACCTTTAAAAGGGGGGGGAGTTATCAAATGAACCTGTCAAGAAGTATCAATAAGCATGTTTTTAAATTTGTCCATTATAGCTCAATAAAGCTTGGGCAGAGGGAAGATTGAACAAAAAAGGAAATTAAGTAATCATCTGGCTGGGAAAAAATGAAAAGAATTAATTTCTATTTAGCATTTGGCACCATGTCAAGTGTGGTGGGTGACTTGAAATATGTATTTAATGGTATTTGTTTTCTGGAAAGGAGAAGAATTACTTTGAGAAATATGAGAGAGTAATTCAATAAAATACTGTGAAGTTATACCCACAGACCAGAAAAGCATGGAAGCAGGTTTTTAAGTGATTTTTTACTTTGATATGAACTTTCAGTGGTAAAATTACATTTGGACAAAATGTATCAGACAAACATAATCACAAATTAAGTAAGTGGAAGTGGAGCAGCTGGGACTTGAACCAGGACTCACATGGGATACTGGTGTTGCAGCTTAACCCGCTGCAGCATAATTCCACCTCCAACTTGATTCTTCATATTCGTAATTTGGGATTTGTTAACCCTCACTGACTAAAAGAGGCTCTTACAGAGCACAGGTAGGGATGTGCCCCATGATAGTGCAATGACCCTTACACACTTTTAATGCTGTTTCCTGTTATCAGTTCAGTCCCTGAGGATGAACTGGAATTCTAGAAGTAGTCAAATCTGTTAAGAAATTTGTGTTGGGAAATTGGAAGAAGGAATTTTTTTTTAACCACAATTTGGTGTTCCCCAGAGATCCTTGTGTCATGGGCTTATTAATGGATTAAGAATGAACTTGATCCAGGTGTGGTATTTGAAGGTGGGGCCCCTGGGAAGTGATTGGATTTGACTACATTGTGAGGGTGGAGCACATGATGGGATCACAGTGCTTTTTTATAAGGTGGAAGGGCATGCTCCTTGTCTCCCTGTCTTGCTTCCTCACCATGTGATCCTTCCTCTGCACACATCCTGTCCCCCCATCAGAGGACTCTGAAACTCCAAATCTGGGATCAAAAAATCCCTTATTATTTCATAAGCAGTAACAATTTGACCAATACACCTTTAAGTAACAGGACTGTGGCTGGTGTTGTGGGGCACTAAGTTAAGCCACAGCCAAAAATGCAGGTATCCTATATTGGAACTCTGATTTGAGACCTGTCTGCTTGGCTTCCAAGCCAGCTTCCTGCTAATGAGCCTGGGAAGGCAGCAGAGGGTGGGTCCCTGCCACTCATGTGGAAAACCTAGATGGAATTCCTGGTTCCTGGTTTTGATCTGGTCCAGCCCTGTCCATTGTGGCCACTTGGGGAATGAACCAGCAGCTAGAAGATACCCCCATCCCCCATCTGCCTTTCAAATAAATAAAATAAATGTTAAAAAAAAGACTGGGGCCGGTGCTGTGGTGTAGTGGGTAAAGGCGCCACCTGCAATGCTAGCATTATATATGGGTGCCAGTTCAAGTCCCAGCTGCTCCACTTCCGATCCAGCTCTCTACTATGGCCTAGGAAAGCAGTAGAACATGGTCCAAGTCCTTGGGTCCCTGCACCCATGTGGGAGACCTGGAAGAAGCTCCTGGCTCCTGGTTTCACATCAGCACAGCTCCGGCCATTGCAGCCATCTGGGGAGTGAACCAGCAAATGGAAGACCTCTCTCTTTCTCTCTCTCTCTGCCTCTGCCTCTCTGTAACTCTGCCTTTCAAATAAATAAATAAATAAATAAATAAATAAATCTTACTGGGAAGTCAGTGGAGGATGGCCCAAGTGCTTGGGCTCTGCACCCCCATGGGAGACCAGGAGGAAGTACCTGGCTCCTGGCTTCTGATCAGCCATAGCAGCCATTTGGGGGGTGAACTAATGGAAGGAAGACCTTTCAATCTCTCTCTCTCTCTCTCTCTGTGTGTGTGTGTAGCTCTGCCTGTTTAAGAAAGAAAGAAAGAAAGAAAGAAAGAAAGAAAGAAAGAAAGAAAGAAAGGTCTAGGTTTTCAACCCACTCCACATTAAATCTTTGGGGGGAGATCTAAAGAGGGTGATCAAAATGTTTTCCTTTTTCTTTTGCCTTTATGCACTGTCCCAATTTTTTACACAGGCAACATATTATTTTTGTAAACCTAGGCTGGGGGAAGATTGTGTTCATTAATCTACATTGCAAACAATTTTAAAATAGACTTTTGAGACATGTTTTGAACAATGGAATAAGAACATTACCAGTCTGGCACCGTGGCTCACTAGGCTAATCCCCTGCCTGTGGTGCTGCCACACCGGGTTCTAGTCCCAGTTGGGGCACTGGTTCTGTCCCGATTGCTCCTCTTCCAGTCCAGCTATCTGCTGTGGCCTGGGAGGGCAGTGGAGGATGGCCCAAGTGCTTGGGCCCTGCACCCGCATGGGAGACCAGGAGGAAGCACCTGGCTCCTGGCTTCAGATCAGCACAGAATGCCAGCCATAGTGGCCATTTGGGGGATGAATCAATGGAAGGAAGACCTTTCTCTCTGTCTCTCTCTCTCTCTCTCTGTCAAACTCTGGCTGTCAAAAAAAAAAAAAAACATTACCTGCCTGGGGACTACTTTGAAGGGGTAA